TCCTCTCCGCCTCTCCTCTCCGCCTCTCCTCTCCTCCTCTCCTCTCCTCCTCTCCTCGTCCTCCTCCTTCCTCCCTTTTCGCCTCCTTCCTCCTCTCCTCCCCTCTCCCCCTGAGTCCTCTCCTCCTCCTCTCCTCCTCCTGAGTGAGCAGCTCTCCGTCGGTCCTCATCTCACTCGCTACCCTGGTTGACCACGTTCTCGCCCTCGACTTCTCCTCTCCCTCACTCGCTCCCCCCGTCCCGATGACGGTCCTGGAAGGTTGGGTTCCTCTCCTGCTTCTTCTTCATCGTCAAGATCTACTCATCCGTCAAGATCGACTAGACGCGCTGCGAGATTGACAAGCAGTCGTCACGCCCTCCCGTTCAAGTCATCTCTACCGTAAGTTGGGCTGCTGGACTCGCGGCTCTCAGTCTGGGCCTGTCAGTTGCCCAGACTTACAGTGTACGAGTCCGATAGTCTGAGCCACCGTTGGGGCACAGTCGGATGCGGCTGGGGGACCGGGCCCCGGTCCGATCTGACGGTCGGCCGCGCGGCGCATACACCCGGCGGCTCCGTCACGGCCGGCTCAGCCGGGGCCAGGCTGGTGACGGTCCAATCGCCGGGGGAACTTGAACAATGCCGACTCAGTGACTAGACTTGGTTCGGCAGTACGCCGGGTAATTTGACGGTTCAGTAGTCACTATATAGGATAAAGTACTACTCACACGGTCGTGACTAGTGGTCGCATGGGCCAGCCGAACCAAGACGACCCTTACGCGTTTCAAGCCTCGGCGGCAATGTAGTACACTGTGATCAAGCCTGAAGGCAAGAGACCTTCCTAGCCGTCTTGCTCAGTAAGGTCTGGCGAGGCCCCGGGGCCCGGAGCCTGGGGTCCGACACGGTGAGCCTGCCACTGACTCCCGAGTCCGGGCAGCGGCCCGGTGGCCCGCCCGTGACCGCAAGTTCCCAGGAGGCGGACTCCAACTCAGTTGTGACTCCGGCGGCGCCGATCCGGGCCTCCCGAGTCCCGTGACTGGCCGCGGCGGCTTCTGACGTAGGCTCGGACCGTGACTCAGTGAGCCGGACGACGCCGTGATCGCCGCGGCCGGGGCCCGGCCCGTCACTGGCACACTGTCACAGTGTTGTACCGTGGGGACTCAGTGGCAGGCCGGCCCGGAAACCGATCCGGGCGCCCCGCGGCCCGGCCCCGGCGGTCGCCCGGGGATGAAACCTGAATATAGTCCGATGAGTCAGCCCGACCTGGGGCCCGCGGCCCTCCGGAGACCACGTACTCCAGAGGGCCGCCGGGCCGAGACTCTCAGAGGTTCCGAGGGGCCCGATCTTTACTCAAGTTACTAAGTTAAGTTAAAAATCAGTACGAGGTACGAGGGGCCCGGGGTCGGACTCAAGTTGCCAGTCACAGAGTCCCGGCACGGTCACCGGGTCACGGTTAGGACCCTGCCAAGGCCCGGCCGAAGCTTTACTCAAAGTTAACTTAAAAATCAGGTTAGTACTTGAAGCTGTGACGTTGGGTGACCGACCTTGAGGTCATGAGCCTTGTCACGGTCATACCACCCCTACCAACCACCAAAAGATCAGGGTAGTAGGGGGCCGTTGGCACTTGCTTGCAACGACTGGCCACCCCCACCCCAGTCTTCTCCCTTTCAAGTACCCCACCTGAGACAGTATATCCATTCTTGGAGGTGCCGCAGTGCATCTGATCTTGTGAGCCGCTGTCTCCGTTGAGCCACCCCTACCCCCTCCCACAACTAGAATGGTCCCTTTAGCCACCCCTACCAACCCCTATCACGGGGGTCAACTTTTAGTAAACTGAGTCATCAACAGTACCCTTCCCTTCTCCTGTTGCAGAAGGGGTCCTCGACCCTTCCATGACCTCGTCGCTGACGATCAGCAAGTATAGCTACACTTCCTAGTACTCCCCAGGTCCTTGAAAGGTCTTATGACTTATATTGCTTGCTAGGTCCTTTGACCGAACTATCTGTAGGCGCCTAGGGGTTACTATGGTTCATTTTTTGGTCCGTGGTCCTAGCAATGCTAAGAGAAGAAAAGGTGTTTTGTCCTATGTCCCTAGGTCCTCTCTCAGTACTGCTGTGTGAAAATAGTTTTTAGATTTGAATTTCCAGGGGCCTATGATCATCGATGACGCTCACCCTCTTTTGTCATCGATCATACCAGGGGGTGGGGTATTGAGAGGAATCTTAAGGGGTAGGGGTACAAATTGTACCTAGCAGGGAATAAAAAGCCTTGGTGCTATGATGGGGTGGGGTGCATCAAGATTTGAAAGGGGTGGGTCGTCACCCTCAGACATGAGTGTAGGTTTGGTACGTGGCCTTCAGGGGTAGTCATTCCTACGAACTCAAGAATGGCCGGACTGCGGTAAAGTTGTGTCACTACCGGTACTTGAACTGGGTATCGGGGGGTGGTCTTGTGGGCGGGACTATCTATTTCCTTCTGCGCAATCTTTCCGGTCAAGCATATTTGTTTTCAGAATCTGCGTTTAATTTTCAAATATGCTCTATGTTTTTTTTGAATATTTCAAAGATGGCCCATAAGAGAGCGAAAAACTTTTGTAGCTGCTTCACCGAAACATTTGAAACAACCCCCTGGACAAAACAGATGATAGATCATGTATTGAAAATGGATACGACCACCAGCAAGCAAGATGTGCTACGAAGAATGGGGTAGGGGTAGTATTGATATGGTGAAGGTAGGGTGGTGTTATGGAGCATCCTGGGGTAGGGTGCTGGGGTTGCAAACTCTGTCCATAAAGCTTGTGGGGACGGGAGCGTAGAGCAGAGCAAAGCGAAATGTCCACGGAGCAATCAGCGTACGCTGAGGTGGCGTATAGCATTCCGACAAATGCTGAAGGCGATTCTAAAAACCAACCACAAGAATTTGTCGTTCGAGACAAAGTTCAACAGCGAACAGCGTAAGTCTCCTCTTGATCGCGATTCCCCTGCAATTCTCTATCCACAAATCACCTTTTGCTCCCAAACAGTGAGCAGTTGCTTTACCAAAAAATGCTGACACCAGACATTACAGGATATCTTCTGCATCAGGAGCGAACTCATTTGCATATCAATCTATTAGGGTCAAACCAGCGACCATCGCATGGAAAGATCTCACCTACGACGTCAAGCTCACCCGCTCAAACCCTCAGACCGGAAAGAAAGAAACTATAGACAAGCGCATCCTCGACGGCCTCTCCGGCATCGTCCGGCCCGGGGAGATGCTCGCCATCTGCGGGCCCTCGGGAGGCGGCAAGACCACCCTGCTCGACGCCATCGCCGGGAGGATCGACCCCCACCGCAAGGGCAGGAAGTTCACCGGCGACGTGCTGGTGAACGGGAAGCCCAGAGACGAGACGTTCAGCATGGTGGCGTCGTACGTGCAGCAGGAGCATGCGCTGCAGACGCCCTTCACGGTCAGAGAGACGATGCGATACGCGGCCGACCTTCTCATCCCGCACGCGGAGAGCACGCAGGCAGAGAGGAGAGCAAGAGCAGACAATGTGACGCATGTGCTGGGGCTGGACTCATGCAGCAACACCATCGTAGGAGACGTGTTCCGCAAGGGGCTGAGCGGAGGGCAGCTCCGCCGCCTGTCGATTGCGGTGGAGCTGGTGCGGAACCCCTCCATCCTCCTGCTGGACGAGCCGACGTCAGGCCTCGACTCGGCGGCGGCAGAGAACATCATGAAACACTTGTCGCACCTGGCCAAGACTGGCACCACCATTATTTGCACTATCCACCAGCCTCCGTCAGAGGTGTGGGCGAACTTCGACAAGTTCCTCCTGCTGTCTAGGGGCAAGTGCCTCTACTTCGGGGCGGCAAACAACGCGGTGGACTACTTCGAGAGGATGGAGTATCCGTGCCCGGGGCAGTCGAACCCGGCAGACTTCTTCCTGAGGCTGGCCAACACGGACTTCGAGGGTCACGCGGACATCGAGGCGCTTGCAAAAGGCTTCAAAACTCAGCCTGAAGGCATGGCTTTGTCCTCTGCGCTTAGCAAGCCGATCGATCATGACGTTCATATCAGCAAGCACAGGAATGGCTTCATGACGCAGCTCCTGATCTTGTCTCATCGCGCCTTCTTCAACAACGCGCGTAACCCGGGTATCTTCCTCGTCCGACTCATCATGTACATTCTTCTTTGCCTCATGATCGGTTTCATGTTCTGGGACCTCGGCACAGGCCCCACGGACATCAACAGCCGTGTCAGCTTGCTCTTCTTTGTCGCGGCTTTCCTGGTGTTCATGTCGGTGGCGGTGCTGCCCTTCTTCATCGTGGAGCGAGCTGTGTTCCTACGCGAGCGAGCCAACGGCTGGTACATGGTGCCGGCCTACGTGCTGGCTTCGTTCCTCATGTCGTTGCCGGGGTTGTTCATCATCGCATTGGTCAGCTCAATCCTTGTTGTGTTTCCTGCCGGTCTCAATAACTTCGGGGTGTTTCTGCTCGACCTCTTCCTATCTCTCGTCACCGCGGAGGCGTTCATGTGTGTCATAGCATCGGTGGTACCTCACTACATCATCGGGATCGCGCTGGGAGCAGCGGTGTACGGCTTCTTCATGTTGTGCGAGGGCTTCATGAAGATCAAGGACGACATCCCAGATTGGTTCATCTGGGGGTACTACATTGCGTTCCATTCATACTCTTTCAGAGCGTTCATGGTGAACGAGTTCGACTCTATTCCCACGTTTACGAGCCCTCAATTCCCAGACGGCAAGTCAGTGCTAGCCTTTTACAATATGAACGACAAGCCCGTATGGAAGGACCTGCTCGTAGTTGGATCGTATGCCATCGCCCTCCAGATCATATTCGGGACTATCCTGCAGGTGTTCCACAAGGGCAAGCGGTAAACAAAATTCTTCACTGATGTCTCTTATATCGATTTTCAAAGTTTTTCTCATGTTCCAATTGTGTGTTTCAAGTAAACGAGTTAATGTATGCAAGGCTGAATCCTCGTTTCAATGATTCTGGTTTTACCCCCCCCCCTATCGTGAGGACTGCGGTCGTCGCGACTTCAGTATCTATGCATTTCTGTCATTGTGAATGTAAAGCATCTAGATGATGGGCAGATAATTTCAACGATGACAATTGCAGAACTGAATTGATTTTTCAATCCCATGGCAGATCTGAAGCCTGTCCGGCTCTACTTGTATATTGAGAAGAGCGATCAGCCATGCGCAGGAATGTATAAGAGGAGGTGTACATATCCACCTGGGCAGAAAATGTGGAGCAAATCAACAGCCCGTCCATCCAGGTGTGTGTGGGAAGAGCACAGGCAGGAGGCAGACTGAACAAGCTTTCTCTGTTCTCCATCAGAGCACAGGTAAAGGATTATTGCGTGCAGAAAAGTCTTATAAGGCATACACATCTATTAGTAATAGTGTCACAAACTAAACTGTCAGTCAAGCAAGCGGCTGCTGAAGCTGCATGATCAAAATCGATTGAAATCTTACAAGGGGCCAACCAGCGGCTGCGACAAACTTTGCTGTTTCACTTGTCCGAAAGGGAGCAGCACAACCTACAAGACTCTCCCCCCGCTCACCGCTTGCCCTTGTGGAACACCTGCAGGATCGTTCCAAACACGATCTGGAGGGCGATAGCCCAGCCCCCGACAACAAGCAGATCCTTCCAGATCGGGTGATCCTCCATGTTGTAGAAGGCAAGAACCTCCCTGCCATTGTGAAACTGAGGGCTGTCAAAGTACTGAATGCCTTCAAACTCGTTCACCATGAACGCTCTGAAAGAGTACGTGTGGAAGGCCATGTAGTACCCCCAGATGAACCAATCTGGGATGTCGTTCTTTACCTTCATGAAGCCCTCGCACAACATGAAGAAGCCGTACACCGCTGCCCCCAGCGCGATCCCGATGATGTAGTGAGGTACCACCGATGCTATGACACACATGAACGCCTCCGCGGTGACGAGAGATAGGAAGAGGTCGAGCAGAAACACCCCGAAGTTATTGAGACCGGCAGGAAACACAACAAGCACAGTGCTTGCAAGCGAGATGATGAAGAGCCCCGGCAACGACATGAGGAACGAAGCCAGCACGTAGGCCGGCACCATGTACCAGCCGTTGGCTCGCTCGCGTAGGAACACAGCTCGCTCCACGATGAAGAAGGGCAGCACCGCCACCGACATGAACACCAGGAAAGCCGCGACAAAGAAGAGGAGAGCAACACGGCTGTTGATGTCCGTGGGGCCTGTGCCGAGGTCCCAGAACATGAAGCCCATCAGCAGGCACAGCATGATGTACATGACGAGTCGGACGAGGAAGATACCCGGGTTACGCGCGTTGTTGAAGAAGGCGCGATGAGACAAGATCAGGAGCTGCGTCATGAAGCCATTCCTGTGACTGATGGGACTGATTTCATGCTCGATCGGTCGAGCAAGAGCGGAAGTCAGCGACATGCCCTCAGGCTGAGTTTTGAAGCCTTTTGCAAGCGCCTCGATGTCCGCGTGACCCTCGAAGTCCGTGTTGGCCAGCCTCAGGAAGAAGTCTGCCGGGTTCGACTGCCCCGGGCACGGATACTCCATCCTCTCGAAGTAGTCCACCGCGTTGTTTGCCGCCCCGAAGTAGAGGCACTTGCCCCTAGACAGCAGGAGGAACTTGTCGAAGTTCGCCCACACCTCTGACGGAGGCTGGTGGATAGTGCAAATAATGGTGGTGCCAGTCTTGGCCAGGTGCGACAAGTGTTTCATGATGTTCTCTGCCGCCGCCGAGTCGAGGCCTGACGTCGGCTCGTCCAGCAGTAGGATGGAGGGGTTCCGCACCAGCTCCACCGCAATCGACAGGCGGCGGAGCTGCCCTCCGCTCAGCCCCTTGCGGAACACGTCTCCTACGATGGTGTTGCTGCATGAGTCCAGCCCCAGCACATGCGTCACATTGTCTGCTCTTGCTCTCCTCCGGACGATGCCGGAGAGGCCGTCGAGGATGCGCTTGTCTATAGTTTCATTCTTTCCGGTCTGAGGGTTTGAGCGGGTGAGCTTGACGTCGTAGGTGAGATCTTTCCATGCGATGGTCGCTGGTTTGATTCGCAGAGACTGATAGGCCAGTGAGTTGGCAGAGGATGTGGCATGCTTGCTGTCAGATAGATGCGTCAGTCCTGGCATTTACTTGCTACACAAGAGTACTCACAGGATGTGGGCACGAGACTGCTGGTCGTTGGAGAGGGTGACCACTGCTGGCTCGCTGGAGGAGACGATTGCTTCTACAGGGCTGCTCTCCATCATCACAGGGATGCTGTAGCTGTCCTCCTCGCGCTGCTCCGCCATAGTCTCAGTCTCTCCACGTTTCCTCCCCTCCCTCGTTGCAATATGAGCGGGCACTAAGCAAGTCGTAACCCTACCCGCTTGTCCGAATGAACCCCTACCTATCCCGAAATTGATGTGTACTCCCCTACCCCCAAGAATCAGCTTGTTGTCTGGTCAAGAAGGTTTCTTAGAAACTACCCCTACCCTCTCATAATCATTTTGCTACCCTACCCAGTTTTTTCGTGTCATGAAGAGAGATGATGAGAGATGATCTTGTGCCATAGGTCATACTACTTCCTTCCTAGGACCCCCTAACACTTTCCTAGCACCAAAGTAAATGCCAAAGATCGGACCGGGGGGCATGCCATGTACGGAACTTAGGGGAATAGGACCTAGGCATAGGTCCTGTATTTCCTTGCCAAGTTGCTAGGACCATTACTCAAAGTTAATTTAGTAAGTGTCTGACAGATGCCGGACACGAGCATAAGGTCTTGTCCGGCAGGGAAGGCAAAGTTGAGTAAATATTTTGTCCTGCATCTTCAATGAATGTCAGCAGGGCATGATTTCACCAGGGTAGTACTTGAAGTATTTAGTAGGGGTTAGCAAACCAATTAGTCTATTAGTTTTACTCAACTTTGGAACCTCTAATTGCTCCTACCCCCTTGCCCTGCACTGTCCGATCTTATAAAAATGTGTGGCCCCACCACCCCACCCCCTTCCACAAACAGCTTCGCGCCATTCATGGCTTCTTCACACACATGCTTGTTTGGCAATCAATGCAAGGTACATGATGAAAGCATTCGATTGTATCAATGCTGAAGATGCAAGCCTGATGTGCCATCATCTTTGCGTGAATGAATATGTTGATTCGGAAGGATACACCAGCTGTGAGTGTGAGCAACGTGGGAAAACAGCCCTTCCATCAATTCCTCAAGATGCACTTGCTTGCAAGAAGTCATGTAGAAGGATCTAATCATGGCACAGAGTGGATGATGATGATGATGATGATGATGATGTGATTTTGATGATGGTGAGGAGGTGGTGGTGGTGGAGCACGAGCTGGAGCACATGCAACAGGACGAGGACGAGGACGAGGACGAGGACGAGGACGAGGACCGTACGGAGAAGAAGGGTGCCTTTGGGGAATGTGAAGAAGAAGAGCAAGATGTAAGGGGGCAGATAGAATCAGTAAGTGGAATCTGTAAGAGATTGGATGGGAAAGAGATTGGATCTGTAAGAGATTGGTCAACCCGAAGACCTCCTCTTGGAGTTCTGTAAGCCAACTGATTACTTTGCTGTGTGAGATGAGAGCATGTTGCTTGTCAGCTTCGGAGTTGAGCACGAAATCGCAGTCCAACCCCTGAGAAGATCAAGAGTTGCTGGCAAGACGGGGGTTGGTTTCTTTGTACGTGAGGAAATGCTCGCACCAGCAAATGTCTTCGTTGCTGATAATGAAGCAAAAAGCTACTTGAAGTTTCAGTCAAACATGTCTCTAAGGTCTGGCGTCAGGCATGTTTACAGAAGGAACAACCACTCAAAGACTTTCGGTGGAAGATTGATACAACCATATATTGGAGTCCTACAAAGGTCTTCATAGATGAGGCGGCAGTAGGTGTCACGAAACTTAGCTCGGGAAAGGATGCAAATCCGTTGACGGAAGAGAATTACATAGGCATAAGAAGATAGGATCGTGGGCAGCCTGACATATGTCACATTGAGTTGGGATGTCATCTGTAGATCCTTGAATACGGTTCAGATCCTGCTGCATGCAACCCATCTGATGGCAAGATGATCATATGTTTGTTTGTGTTCCGAGCCTGGAGGATTTGAAACGCAACATTGCAGAAAACAACGATTCAGTCGCAGGCATGCTGAAGGAGATTCCGGAGATAGGGCAACATGCGACAGAACACCAGGAACAGGAAGAGGAACCTGACCTCGGAGACGTAAAAGCTGGCGCACTGCTGAATCGGAGCACTGTACAGTGTGTCAATGACGATCGAGCTGGCGTTCGTCACACTGTGACTCAGACTGATCAAGCTGATCTGAAAACGATTCGAATTTCTGGTGAAGCGAAATGTTTCAACAATGCATGGAATCTGTATCACACTGGCAAACATGCCAAAGGGATACCTCCTTCGGAGAAACTGCAACGAGCAAATTTTAACAGAGCATGAAGCAAATAGTTTGCAGGCATAGCTTATCTCATGAAGTGCTTTGACCAATTCATCCGGCGAAGTGTAATGGAACTGAATTCCTTCTTTGATAGTCGGTGAGAATCTTTGATGTTTCAATGCCGAGATGAAACATTCAAGAAATATCCAAAGGATTTCATCTCGTGGCTCAATCAGAGAGAAGGGGCAGAGAGCTCAAGTGATAGGAGTGGGCAGTTTGCACAGGCAACGTACTTCAAGAAAATGCGAAAGAAAGAAGCACCGCGACTAGATGAGATCAGGTGGTCGTTCGAAATGCGAATGATAACGAGACTGATGGCTTAGATTTTGCCTGTAATTGGATGGTTTAAGGTTTGTAAAACATATAATTCATTGTCAAGTGACAGTGAGTGATATCATAAGTTGTAATAAACACAAGTTGCTCTGGTAAATCTTGTGAAACCTCGTTAGACGTTGCTCAGTTCTGGGTCAAGCAGCGAGATGGAGCTCAGAAATTTGGCTGAGTGTTTTTGAGTCTTGGACCTCTGAGGCGGGTGTGGGTAGGGAGGGAGGGTGGGTGAGGTCCTAAACTGGTCTTTGGGTGGGGTAGGGGTCATATTCGGAAGAAGTTTATGTGAATGAGCACTAAACCTCTCAAAAAACTACAAAAGTGTATATATTTGTCCGGACTATATCTTACACCTCTAAGGGTGTTGTTAAGTTAGTGGCCAGGCCCGGCCCGGGCCCTCAGGCCGCATTATCATCCACACGAGAGTCGGCGGCGGTCACGGTGGGCCGCGCCCCCGCCGGGGCCGGGCCGTCGGATCGGACTGACGGTCTGATCCCCGGGCCCCGGCCCGGGCCACCCGGGCCGCGCGGCCGGGCCGAGTACGGTCCGATCATCCGGCGCCCCCGGGGCCCGGGGTCGGCCGGGCAGTGGCCCGGCCGACCCCAGTACATTCAATGATCGGATTGGCCCACTGCCAGGCTGCCCGGCGCCGCCGTCAAGTTGGGCCAGTTGGTTCTGAGAGGCGAGTCAGCGTCCGTAGTATGCTTTCAAGGCCCGGCCCGGGTGGTGATCATCCGATGATCGGATTGCCAGGGGAAATGGGGGTACTGACTCTGTGAGCGGATATCGAGCGGAGGCTGTACTAGATTACGCCCGGGGTGAGGTCACCGGCCCGGCGGGCAGTGCCACGGCAGTGACGGTGGCCGCGGCCGGCCGCGGCCGGGGCCGCATCATCCGATGATCAAACAGCGAGCAACGGAAGTTGTTTTGTATCCAACTGGCGTTGAACCTTGAACGCCGTTTCAGATCTGAGAGCCTGGAGACTCCGTAATATGATCATAGGCAAGTCATAGCAGGACACTGGCGAGTCAGGACCAGGTCCTAGTACGGTGACGGTGAGACGGCGAGTCACATTGCGGCCGACCTCAGTTTCAGCACCTCAACGGGCCGCCGGCCCGGTTAGCCTCAGTCGATGTGGCTCTGTGCACAAGCTCACAGAAAGGACAGCAACAGCTACAATAGGGATGACCGTACGTAGGAGGATCACGAAGAAGAGAGCAAGAACAGGCTAGGACCCATGGATGCGGCAGCAGGTGATAAGCGAGTCAGCTCATATCAGTCTACGACAGGACAGCAAGTGACAGGAACTTCCGAATAACGGTTCGATCAGAGAAGACAGTACTATCATGACTATTCTTCAGGAGGTCCTACGATGAAGGCACGAAACCACCTCTCAGCAGGTTGCAGACACACACAGGTTCCGTCAAGGCCAAGGGAGCAACTGTGTCAACTTGACTCGACCGTCAGGAAGCCGCGATGGATGATTCTCTCAGGCTCAGGGAGCCTCTAGGCTCAGGGAGCCTCTAGGCTCAGGGAGCCTCTAGGCTCAGGGAGCCTCTAGGCTCAGGGAGCCTCCAGGCTCAGTGGGGAGGCTAGGGCGTGACTCGGACCGGTCGAAGGACCATACGTTGCAGGAAAGGCCCGGAAAGGCCGAGAATGAGGTGAAGGGTCCCTGTGAGACTGGATTGCTTGAAGTAAACCAGCTTGTACATCTGTACCAATCTCTTATCACCTCTGTTACTTCTATGAACTTCGGAATCCTGATATTATTCCTGCGCGGCCAGGTCTGTTGAGTAAACATCGAGAGAGCATCAGCTACAGCATGGCGGCGGCAACATTGCTAACTTTGCTGGCCCGCATGCTGTGGGTCGCTCAAGAAGCTACTCATGGCACAGTAAGCCTAGAATCAAGAGGATCGCACCTCTGTCTTTCTTCCAGTCTCACTGGTACAGTAAACATGATGCCGCCGCTTGCGAAGCTCCGTGGTGGTGGCCCTTTGGACGGTGATCACATTTTAGGGGATGAACTACCTGCAGGGATTTCCAAGCGGAAGGCATTGAAGATCAGCCTGCAACGCATTTGCGCGAGGTTGATGGTCAGCACAGATGACAGGGAGAAAACCAAGCTCCGGGCTGAGGAGATGAGGATCAACGACGAACTAGAGCTAGAGCGTATGCGAGTCGAACAAAGGCAACAAAGGAAGAAGATCAGAACCAGCAAGGATAAGGAGGAGAAAGCCGAGCTGCGGGCTGAGGAGAAGTCAATGAAAGCCGAGCTGCAGGCCCAGGAGAAGTCAATGGAAGCCAAGCTCGAGATCGCGAGACAGAGGCTGGATCTAGAACAGCTACGGGCGAGGATTACCGCCAGCAAGGATGAGCAGGAGAAAGCCGAGCTGCAGGCTAAACTGATTCGAAGTGAGGATCAGTTGCAAAAGCTTATACTACTCAACTTGGGGTATGTGGATGACTCACCGTATCTTGTCTACGATCAAAGTAAGCAGTCAAGAGATTTGCTTGATTTTGTGTGACGAATCGTTTTGAACAGGGAGGGATCAAGATTTTGAGTTTCTCGCTGTGCTGTGGAATACCTCTTGCTCGGGAAGCATCGATGCCAATCAAACCACTGTTCGTTTGCCGGAAGGAGCAAAACTGCTTGGTGGGAACGAGCTTTTGATACGTGAGTGCTATCGTGATGTCAAGGATATCATTGCGATGAACTTTGGTTTGGACCCGAAAACATTGAAACCAAGAGAAAATCGCACATCTTTTGAAACAATGATCATTACGGGCAACCCAGGGATTGGAAAGTCTTGTTTTGCTCTTTATTTGCTCCTGTATATACTTCAGACAGGAGAGAGCGTCTACTATCAACGCGGAGACGATCACTTTCATTTCAAGGAAGGCACTTGGTTTCGTGTGAAGAATGCAGCTATATGCCGAGAATCAATTTTGTTCAAACACGGAGGTTGGTATCTGTGCGACCTTAACGCGGAGGTGTCAACGTATTTTTGTGCTCGATGTACCAAGAACATCATCGTCTCCTCTCCCAAACTACGTGTTTTCAAACAATTGTTGAAGGAAGGCACAGCCAAACGGTTCTTCATGCCGGTGTGGACCGACGAGGAGATGGCTATCTTTCAAGAGCTGCACAAGACACGCTTAGATGCTGCAGTGGCAAAACAAACTATCGAGACTTGGGGAAACATCCCCAGAATGCTTTTAGAGAGTTCAAAGTCCAGTTTGATTCAGGAGGTTCATAAAATCACTAGCATTGAAGATTTTGATAACAAGATCAGAGTTGTGTATGATCAAGATTTCGATCTCCCTTCGAAGCTTGTACACCTTGTTCCAAGCCCAACATATGATTCCGTGAAGGCTCAGATCTGCTCAGAATATGCAAAGGCTTCGATTTCCAAGTGGATAATGAATCGCGATCGCAATATGGCCTTAAAAGTTGCCTTCAGCGCGAATAGTGATCGCGTTCTTTCAAATTGGATGCTGTTTGAATTTATTTCGCACCTCGTTCTCAGGCAAGAAGGGAAAAGAAAGGCAAGGAGGTTGGGGGAAGGGCATGATGACGGCACTCTGACTGAGATTGAAATGAAGAGAAGTGAATTTGTGGGATTCTGGGGAGGACCTGAAAGTTTGAATTGCCGTCTACAGAATAGGACGTACTACAAGCCTTTATCCAAGACTTTCCCATGCGTGGATGCGTTGATGTTGTCCGAGAAACCAGAAGAGGTGTATCTATTCCAGATAACAACGGCTCAGCAGCATCCCGTGCTTTATACACCATTGTATGACATTCTTGCCAACATTACTGTGTTGAACAAAGTCAGGAAAGCGAATTTGATCTTTGTCCTCCCAGAAGTTCAAGCCGCATGCACAAACCTTGTCAATCGAGACAGAGCCGAGAAAACAACGAGGGGGTTTGGAAGACCTTGGGATTGAGTTGGTGCAAAGTGTGATGTTTCTGTCTGAGGAAGATGCACGGGAGTGTGTGGGAGGCCAACATTTCTCGCTGGAAGAATAAGCCCCACCAGCTCATAAAAATCAATGAAACTCTTCTCAACTTGTTTCCTTGTAGGCCTTATCTTTCAACGATTAGCAGCCTTGCAGGTTTCAATGAGTGTAGATCTCTTTCAGTCGCGATCTTCTACTTCAGTCATCCATCCGTCCCGACAGCCCTGAATTCGACTCGAGGGTGACTGGCAGCATTTTAGCTTCCGCCAAGAGTTGCTTCATGACATCTTTCAATGGTTGCATTCCTGTCTTCAAAGCGTGCTGGACACGAAGCCTGCATGGAGCGTCTAGCATGACAGGGAGGAGGGAGGAGGGAGGAGGGAGGAGGGGGGAGGGGGGAGGGAGGAGGGAGGAGGGAGGAGGGAGGAGGCGGATTTCAGTCTTCTCAGAGTTTCTCAGGGTGGTACAGGGATTCTCTCTTTGTTGGGTGTCTCAGCGACTGGTCGATATGTGCGCCTGGAGGCTTTGGAGGCAGAGGGCATGGTAGAGGAGAGAATCTTGTCCCTACTCGAGGTCTGCCCTGTCAACAGCGTCTCCCTCCTCTGATCATGGTGGGCAGATGGCAGTCTTCAGCTCTGTGCGGTGGAATTGTTCCCGTCACTGTCCTCCTCAGTTTGGCTCTTGTCCTCCAACGGATCCCGTCCTCGGGCAGTGCGTGTGCAAGCCCAACAGGATCGGCATCGACTGCTCGACTCACCTCCTGACGGACCATCTTTTTCTACCTCCCTATCGACATCCGCAGGACAGTGAGGATCAAGTCAACTTCAGCTGGTTGCCAACGGCCCGTCCCTGATCATCTTTGACACCCCTTCTGTGTCAGGCTGAAAGCATCAGCATGGGACCACCAGGAGCTCGAGGGAGCTCTGAGGGAGGTCGCAGCCTCTCAGGTGCCGTGAGACTCTCAGTTGCCTGCGACCTTAACCCCTCGCCTGCTGACGTCAGTTTCTCCAGGGCTCGGGATCCTGCGCTGCTCCTGCTGCTCTGGTCACGGGGTACCATCCAGGTGCTCGACCTCGCCTTGAGTAGACTGCTGAGCCATCGGAGAGCAGGAGGGCTGACGGCATCCCTGAGTCTGATCGCCTCGATGCTGTCCTTGTCCTTCGCTCTCAACAAGAAGACGCTCCTGTGGAGGAAAGCCGAGGTAATATCTCCTCTTCATCCTCCGTCCGGTCGAGTCTGACACCATCCAAGTGGCATCCTCCCTTCCTCCCTCGCTCTCCCTCTCGCTCTCGCTCCTGCTCTCGCTTGCTCCCTCCCTTCTCGGTGAGACAAGAGATTGCAGCTGGAGCGATTGCTCAAACCAAGACATGGACAACTTTCTCGAGAGAACGTTTCATCTCAAGGTCGATTGATCCTGACAGTCTTTGACCTCTTGACGGGAAGCAGGTGGAAGAGAGTGACAACACGCGCAGTGTCCAGCCCTTCGCCTGGGTCCCTCCCAAGTATCAGACCAAGGTGCCGCCAATGACTTTCGCTGTCCCTCCTGATGTATCCCAGGGGATGTTTTGGTGGAGGTCGGTGCTCAACAGCTTTCTCTTCAGGATTCGACCTGTCCTGCCTTCTCCTCCTCTGCTTCACGTCCTCTCAACTCGTCCCTCCAGGAGCTTGCGCAGGAGCTCGACATCGACGGGTTGATGAAGCGCCTGGGCCTGTTGGATGGACCTTTCTTCGGGGTGCATGTCCGGCTGGTGAGAGACGTTGAGGTATCGTCCTTCTCCTCAATGCGGATGTCAGGGGGACTCGTGTGTCAAGTGGAAGGAGTTGTTCAACGGAGACTGCCTGTCTCCATACGAGCTCATCTCGCACACCAAGTCAGCTTCGCTCCTCTTCCTCACTCGTCTCTCTCACTCGCCTCAGGTTCCTCTCGGATAGATAGTCTGATGACCCGCACGCGCTCGATCACTTCAAGCAGAAGCTTCCAAGCCCGGCTACACGTGGTGGCTGTGGACAAATATCGAAGTCTGCTGGAGGAGATGGACAAGACTAAGAGCGAGTAGCTGGAAAACAAGCTCAAGCACCTCTATCCTCACTGCTGCTGCAGGTGGACGGAGAATCGGCTGAGGAAAGGAGAGCTTCCTCGCAGCCTGCTGCTTCGCTCTACCTTGACCGACTTGATCCGGCACTCCGACGCTTTCTGAGTCAGGAAGCCCGGCTACCGAGATCAACTTTCAACTATGGGTCGGACTCTGACTAGGGCTCCGAGTCGGTTCGAGCCGCTCAAAGAATGATATCCGACGGATAGGCTAACCTGTGCCATCATGTAGTGGTAGTTTGAGGCCTCAAGCCCGTCACCAGGCAGCCCCGGACGGTCCCAATTTGAGGGACTCCCGGAGGCGCCCGGCCGCCGCCGAGCCGCAGTGAGCTGGCGGCCGCCGCCTCCAGCGGCGGGTGACCGTGACTCACTGAGTTGTGACCGGACACCGCAGCGTGACTCGGACGCTCAGACTTCAACTTAGTTGACTCAGTAACTCGGAGGGTGAGCTAGTGACTTCAAGTTGACTCAGTAACTCGGAGGGTGAGCTAGTGACTTCAAGTTGACTCAGTAACTGAGGGTGAGCTAGTGACTTCAAGTTGACTCAGTAACTGAGGGTGAGCTAGTGACTTCAAGTTGACTCAGTAACTGAGGGGTTGACTCAGTAACTGAGGGTGAGCTAGTGACTTCAAGTTGACTCAGTAACTGAGGGTGAGCTAGTGACTTCAAGTTGATCGGACTCAGTAACTGAGGGGTTGACTCAGTAACTGAGGGTGAGCTAGTGACTTCAAGTTGACTCAGTAACTGAGGGTGGCACTGGGCCTGCCACCATTGTTTCAATGTCCTGCTATGAGAATTCTCTGTGAATTGGCCCGCGGGCCGGCCATTCACTCCTTGCTCTTGTAATTGAAGGTTGACTGTCGCGACCCTTCTCATCTGCGCCGGGCGCTTTCTCTTGGAGGCAACCAATCATCATACTCAGTAACTCGTCGTTGTTATGAAAGCATGAAACGAACAACAAGCTGCTTCGCCGCTGCATCTGTCCATTTCAATGAAACGAATCACTGGGATCTTTGTTCCAATTTCCATGATCAATTCTGGGTCTTGCAGATAATTTTGGAGTCGAGTCTGATTTTCTTCAGCTAATAACTCTTGGAATTCGCCTTCCGAGGTGTCGAACATTCGTTCGAAAGCATCGGGACTTTTCAACATTCTGTTTAATTTCTTGATGCCCTTCGTAGACATGACTAGTCTTTCACAAACTTGGGACAGAGTTTCGTTGCAAACGATTGATTCGATTTCGAAATATTTCCCAGCCTTGTGAAGAGACATAACTTACCCTCCCTGTCGGTCATTCCGCCCAATGCCGTACATATTCCATTGCCCTTGCAAATCAGATCTCTTGACGAACTCCATTCGGATAATCTTGTCAGGCTAAGTTACCACCTGCTAACGCCTTTTGAAGTCACCCGACTGCTTAATTGTTGTAGACGTGAATACCTTTCTCCTATTAGAGATCAATCATAACTTCATCATATGCAGCTCTCACAGGCCTCTGAAAAACCTCTGAGTACTGTGTCTCCATATGGAATGTAGGACATCGTCATAAGGCATGATGAACTTCGGACAAGCTTTTGCCAGAATTTCCTCGCTTAACAGTCTACGCCGTAAGGGAAAATGGAAATTGTGACTTCAGTTGCCTTCTTAGGATTGCCAGCCGAGAATTCATTGTTGCACAGTCATAATTGATCGTGATAACGGCTGAGGCGATGCTTCCCGTGAAGTTTGAAGATATCAATCCACTCCTCGACAAGTTGAAGGAGGCCAAGACGATGAGTCCCATCTGGCAAACAGAACAGCTTGAATCTTTCGCACATCGCATGCTTCTCTTCCACTCTAACCAGTGATATTTTGGCATAGGAATAAAGCAGCCAGCCATGCTATCGTTTGCACGACAGAATCCTTGGTACTGCGATTTCGTTATACCGTTTGCTGTCAGGGCAACTGCTGCTTCCCCCCGGTAGGCATCATTTTTTTTTCAATGATTTGCCACAAGCCGGGCCGTCGGCCGCGGGGGCAACTTAGCCTGGCCCAAGTTCAGTTCAGTGAAACTCCGGAGTCCGAGAGTCACTGACTATCAGCTAGCCGCTCGTCGGACTGAGAGCGCGGCCGGGCGGTCCGTGACCGTACGGTCACGGTGGCAGTGACTGCACGGGGGGCCCGGCGGTGCCCCGGCGGCCCGGCCCGCGTACGGTACCGTTCCGAGTTCACGGTAACGGTACCGTACACGGTGTGACGGCTGGTTGCGGCGCCCGGCCGGGCTGACTCACTGTGTCGGACTAGCCTAGCAGCGCGGCCCGGCGGCCCCGGCGGTGGCTCCCGAGTCCGCCCGGGTGGCCGGCCCGGCCGGGGCCATCATCCGATGATCAAACTTCTTTACTCAAAGTTAAGTTAAAAATCAGTACGAGAACAACAGTGAGCAACTTGTTTTGTATCCAACCGGCGTTGAACCTTGAACGTTTCAGATCTGAGAGACTCTGTCATATGATCATAGGCAAGTCATAGCAGAACAGTGCTGGCGAGTAGGACCCGGTCCTACGGTGAGACTCGTAGCGGCCGACCTTTCAGCACCTCAATCGACAACGTCACTGTGGATTACGTCGGCCGTTAGCCTAGGGAGGTCCCCGTGCTGACAAGCGAGATAAAGCAAAGACAGGGAGGGCAGAGGAAGCACACAGCCACGAAACCGCGCGAAGAAGAGGACGAAATGAGCGACAACAAGACAAGAATCAGAGAACTCAAGCTGAAGCTCGCGCAATGCCAGAAGATCACTAGTTTCTTCAGGTCCAGCCTACGATCAGATGTTGAAAGTAAGTTCCGAGAGAATTTTGTGCTGAGGTTGCAGCTGACACAGTTGTGTTGCAGAGTTGTTGGAACAAGTAGAAGCTCGCAAAATTTGGTTGTTGCACGAGATTCAAATGGTATGTAGATGCTTTCAGCATAACTGTTTGCAAACTTAATGGATTTTCTGCTCAGCTCGAAGCTTTTCAAGGTGATCACCGTCAAGGTGGCATGAAAAGGAGGAAATCTACTCATTATGCCAGCGTTGCATCAGGAGTGATGATATTCGAATGATGAAATATCGAACCACTTTGACATCAACCAAATATCCCTGTACTACATGTAGCTCGTCTGTAAATAAACCGTGAGACAATGAAGTTTCAAGTGAAACTATCAGATCAGATCCTGCTCATTCAATGTGAAGCAAAACTTGCACCCTCTGGCAACCGTGAACTGAAGTATCGCTCCTGCACTGCCGCGGATCATCGGATCATCGGATTGAGACTCTCATTGCTGAGAGTCAGGGCCACGCTTTTCCGAAGTTCTGCTCAGGCTACTGCCGTTGATCGGAATGGTTCACGGTTCACGGTTGGCGGCGTGACCGTCGAACCGTCACTGGCCGGTATCAGGCTACTCTATGATGATACCTGAGTAAACCGATCACCGATATCATCGAGTCAATCTTATATGGGCCAACACTGTGAATCAAGACGTCGATCGGACTGTGAATGACATGCCGCAGTGCTTAGTGCAGGCACGCCGCCGCCTGCGCCGGGGGCCGAGCCCGCTGATGATGATACATCCGTTCCGCTGCGGCTGTCAGCCTGGGGGGACTCCGGAGGGGAGAGGTGGCGATCGCCGCCATCGGCCTCAACTCAGTCCAGCGCCCGGCCGCCCCACGCGGCCCGGGCCTGGCACTGGCGGCACACGATGATGAGCCTGTCCGGGCCGCCGGACTTGCACGCTGCCGGCCGGGCTCAGTCATCATGAGGATCCTCAACTTCAGGCAAGATAAAATCCACAATGGATGCGCCAGCTGGAGACAGGGAGGAGAGGACAAGACGAGGAGAGGGAGAGGGAGAGGAAAACCTAGAAGATGAGCGATTGCAACTGCCAGGCACTCGAACGAGAGGAGGCTGCTTTCTTAGCTTGCGACCATGCTGAGACTGGACCCTGACATGCATCGGACAAGGAAAGGAAAATGGCAGACCTTGTTTGTCTTGCTAGCCTTCATTCTCTGTGCTCGCTGCGAAACTTCAGAGCTCGAGACACTGGACATTGAAGAGGAAGCGAGACAGTTTTGCCTGGAGAACCATTACCATGAAGCTTGCTGTGAGTCAAGATACCACGGAGGAGAGATAGATTGCTCCTCTTGCTCTGAAGAGGTACACAGTAGTATCGCCACATGTACCCAGACGTACATCTCAGAGCACAACAAAAGACAGAGAGCGATTCACTCTGCTCCCTTGCTCCGGGTCGCCCTCCTCTCTCCCCTCCACTGGTCTGTGCATGACGCGAGCAGCAGCAATCCTTTGATGGTCTCAGGCAAAATCTTCGGGATAGATTCCACAACGCCCCCGGACACGCACATCAACGTCCTCCTCTCAGGTTTCTCAGAGGTTGCCGTCCCTCTGTCCTCCTTCTGCTCTCTCAACCCCCCGCTCGCTCCCTGCGAGTTTCGCATCCCGGTAGGAAGAGACATGCTGGGGAAGGGTACGCGCGTCCTGGCTGCTCGGCTCGTGAAGGGAAGCGAATGGTCGAGCAGCATTGGACCTGTAGCAGAGCTCTCCTTCCGCTGCCAGCCTCGCTTCCTCTCCTCCTGGGACCAGAACTCGTGCTGGAAGGGATTCTTTGCTAGCACGCCGCGGTATGACGCATGCTTGCGCGAGGATGGGGCTCGAATGGTTGAATGGAGGAGGAGGAGGATGGGGAAGAGAGGGGGAAGGGAAGGGGAAGAGGAGGAAGGCAAGGGTGATGAAAAGTGTCTGCAGCATCTTTGGACGCACAAGGAGTGGAAGGATGTGTCCGAAGAGGATGGGGTCGGTTCGGGTGATCTCAAGTGCCTAGGGAGAGAGTGGAGGTCACCGCAGCGATATGATGGGATGAGCCTGAATGTCACAAAGGGACAGCAAGTTGGACTCGTGCTGGTGCTGAGAAGGCCGAGGAGGAGGGAGCTGAAACGATTCCTCCTCGAGTTGCAGCAGCAGAGCGAGGACGCAGGGATTGTTGTCTTCACTGAGGACCCCCCTACTGTTGCCTCCATCCTGTACCGTGTATCCTCTAGCTTTCAAGTTCACTCTATCGGAAAACAAGGGCAGGAGCAGCAAGTCATAGAGGCTTTCCTCTCCAGGGCCAGTGAGACATTTTCTACCCTATGCGCTCTGTCCGGTCAGCCAACCTCTGCTCAGGATACTTCTTGGACGTGCAGGTTTGTTCTCTTTCACTCGCTCGCGACTGTTCCGTGATAATCTCTCACTTCTTCTTCTTACAGCTCCAGCTCTAACTTTCCTCCTCACTTGATTGATACGACTGGTGTTGTCCTCCCTGACGACAACAACCAACAACGGGCTACCTCCTACGTCTTCCCGAGGCTCTACGGCCTTATGGGAAACGTCCTCTTCCAGGCACCTACCCCGTGTGCTCTTGGCTTCCAGTGACTTCCCTTCTAGACCGCAGCCGCTCTGACGTTAGCATGGGACCTTGACGAGATCGGTTTTCATGGGAGGCAAGTCGTGCTGTGTTGACGTTTCACGTGCAGGAGGCTGATGATTATGCAGGAGGTGGGAGGTAGGGTTGCCTCTGCCGCAAGATCACAAGCAGGTGACAAGTCTACAGAGCTGGAATCTTGTGCAGATTGAAGTTCCATACCCTTCTTCTTTCTCCTCCTCCTCCTCCTCCTGCCCTCAGCCTTTCTCTTCCTCAAGAACTGGCTGCCTGTCGACCTGACTGTCTTTGATTGATGTTTCGTACTTGTGTCTTCTTTCTCTTGCATCTTCTTTCTCTTCTTGAACATTCACTTGTTTACATCTCGACAAGTTTAATCGACGTACTTCACAGTGTGCAAAGACATTCATGTCTTCAGTGTTCTCATCGCTCATGATAAATAGACTTGACCTTACATCACATGAGGTACACTTGTGGTTGTTTGTCTTAATTGACATGCTCGAAGGTGAACGACTTGATGTATCTACAAGAGGGAAAGTGTCATATTTGTCATCACAATCTTACAGAAGGTATCTTGTACATTTTTCATTCAAGTTTGGTTTCTGAGATTGTTTCGTCAGATGCTTTGACAGCCTCTTCAGGAACTGATCTGATGATCCATGGATGGCGACAGGTTGGATGTGATCTTGCAGGAGTCAGATGAGAGGAGAGGAGAGAAGAGGAGAGGAGAGGAGAGGAGATCAGGTGAGATGAGATGAGATGAGATGAGATGAGATGAGATGAGATGAGATGAGATGAGATGAGATGAGATGAGATGAGATGAGATGAGATGAGATGAGATGAGATGAGATGAGATGAGATGAGATGAGATGAGATGAGATGAGATGAGATGAGGTCTGGGGACTCTGGATCTTTGTTTGCGAGAACAATACGGCAGACTAGAAGGGGGGGGGGTAGAAATAGAAATAGATTCTTACTTCACCTCATTGCAGTCCTACAAGTACTTCTGGCATCGACGTGCAAAGATGATCGATGCCTTCTCCCTCCCTCCTCACCTCGAACAAGTTGCACAGGTAAGACATGAGGACTATAAGGAGGAGGAATGAAGGGGAGAGGGAGTATTGAAAGTGAATGGAACAGAGAGGGTGGGGAGCAGTGAGAAGCGAATGGTGAAAGACGAAATGGAGGGAAGTAGAGGAGGAAACGGGGAGAAATGGACAGGGGAGTGGGGCAGCAGGGAGGAGGGAGGAGGGATAGACGAGGGATAGAGTGAGTGAGTGAGTTAGTGAGTGAGTGCCAGAGGGAGGGAGGGAGGGAGGGAGGGAGGGAGGGAGGGAGGACAGAGAGAGGAGGGAGGGAGGGGTTGGGAAGGGGACGAGATAAAGACGCGAAAAGAGCACGAGGCTAGTGGGAGGAGCATACTTGCTGACCTGCTCACAGCACCACCTGAGGAGGCTGATCGGGGAAGAGGCTGATCGGGTGACGAGAGGAGCGAGGGAGGAGGCAGACTAAGAGGAGGCGGCAGGAAGTAGTTTCAGTCCATATCAGACGCGGGGACCTCCTGTCAGAGAAAGGGACCTTGCTGTCCCTCTCCTACTACGAGAGGGTGAGATGAGGTGTTGATAGAGATGTCCGGGTGAAGCAGGAGTAGGCGTTCGAGGAGTTTGACGAGGATGTCCTGTTTCTTGTCTTCTCGGATGACATCCCATGGTGAGATGAGCGTCGGCGATCTGTGCGGACGAGATGTGCTTGTTGTTCATTCCTGCGATCATGAGAACTTCATCTTGTTCGCTTCTGCCATTATGAGATGTACTTGTTGTCTTTGTGTGCACTCTTGATGGGATGTGGCAGGTGCAAATCGACGGCTCTGTTTCGAAGACTCAAAAACGGTAAAGAATGTTTACACCTTCAGCATGGAAGTCTGACTGAGCTGATCTTGACCTCAACTCCTTGCTTCTCGATTTTGCCCTCAATCCTTGTGCTGGATTTTGTTCTCGCCCTCCCCTATCCCCCCTCGCTTCCCCTCCCTCGCTTGTTTCTCCAGTCGTCTTCGTGGAGCTCGGAATCGACTTCCTCGAGCTGCGCATGATGTCGATGTGCGATCACCACATCGTTGCGAACTCAACGTTCAGGTGAATCCTCCTCCTGCTCCTCCTCGTGCTCCTGATCCTTCTCCTGCTTCTCCTGCTCCTCCTGCTCCTCCTCCTCCACCTCGTTCTCCTCCTGCTCCTGCTCCTGCTCCTGCTCCTGCTCCTGCTCCTCCTCCTCCTGTTCCTGCTTCTCGTTGTTGTCGTCATCGTCACCATCATCGTGATCGTCCACCTACATTTTCTCATTGTCAACCTCCCCTTGTTGTTTTTGACCTCCCTCCTTTTTCCTTTTCACTGCGAACTTCGTTCGTCAGCGTCTGGGCTGCATATCTACATAGCCTTCCACCTTGGAGGAGGAGGAGGAGGAGGAGAAGAAAGAGAAAGTCGAAAGTCGTATGTCCTCAGATTTGGGGCAGAGGCGACGAGGTGAGAGAGGGAGCGAGATGAAGAGAGTAATGAAACAGGAATGGAGGCAAGCGATGGGCAGAAAGGAGGAAGGAAGAGAGAGAGGAGGGAGAGGAGGGAGGGGAGGGGACGGACTTATTCTAATGGCAGGGTGGAAAGCAATTCGGAGAGGGGGAAGTTTATCCACCAGAATGGATTCGCATCCCCAACGACTTTGTCAGGTGATGAAAGGGGCTGGGCTGAGGAGAAGGAGGAGGAAGAGGAGAGGAGGAGGAGGAGAGGAGGAGGAGGAAAAGAGGGGGAGTGAGGAGGAAGAGGAAGAGGAGAGGAGGAGAGAGGATGAAGAGAATAGGATCTTATGAGATAGCAGGACGGGCGATGGAGAATAATATCTACACGGTTTTGCTACCACTTGAATTTATGAGGTTTTGAAGGTGCACAGGAGGGCAAAAGGTAAGTGAGCAAGGAGATGAATCCAATTTGTATTCTAGCTGTGAAATGTACAAACTTTCAGCCTGTTGCTGTGAACAATCATTAAATGCTCTTGCACTTGCATCGTCCTTCGTCGTGTTGTCATCACTCGCTCCGTTCCCTTTCCCTCCTCCTCTACTTCTTCATCAACAGACCCGAGAAGCAGCCGATCTTGCTGTGGGAGCCCTTGTTGGTCGCTCGAAAGACCCCCTTCCCCTCCTGCTCGTGAAATCTTTCCGAAGCTCTGCATATAATCGCCTCCTTCTCTTCCCTCCTCCTCCTCCACGACACTGGATCTCCCCGCTCACCAGGGGGGGCAGGAGCAACATGCTTCATCGCTGCGATGATACACGAGTGAACCTCCCGGACAACTCTCCTCCTCCGCTCCTCCTCCATCGTCTGCCATGAACGAGCCGCCTCCTCCTTCACTCCTTCGATGCTCAGCCCTGCCGTCTTGCTTTCCTCTTGCATCCTTCTCCTCGTGATTGCTACCCACACCTCGTAGAGGCAGAGCCCATGGCTGAGATAATACTTCGCTACTCGCTCCCCCTCCTCCTTGCTGTACAAGTCCATCTTGTCCATCGGCTCTGGAACTTCCCCCCTCCTCAGGTCCTCGGCTGCGTCCTGCGAGGAGGCAAACCACTGCTGCCCCCTTGCCTCTGGGCTCGCAAACCCAAGTCCACTCCCCAGCAGCCTTCCGGCTCTGACGTCTTCCACTGTCTCCGCCACAAGCTCTCGAGCCTCTTTGAAGTAGAGCTCGATGTCAGCTGGGGTGAGCTCAGCACGGGCAGTGAGCGAGTCCTGTTTATCGCAGTCGGAGAAGAAGGAGATGTTGCGAAGGGACCGCTGCTGCTCTTCGCTCCCCCGACTCCTTCCGATGTACCGCCACTCCCCCGTCCTAGGAACGAGCCGGTAGAGAGGTAGGAGCTTCCAGCCGTGCTCGGCGACGAACAGAACGGCATTAACAAGGAAGCGGGCCGTCTTTTCCGAGAGGAAGAAGTTGAAGTTGAGCCGCACGAACCCGGGTTTGATCGCTTCGTCCCCCTGCAGGGCAGCCGTCTCGATCACGAACCCTGCCGAAACGCTTATGTCAAAGAGCCGCTGGCCAAAGGGGCCGGCGCACGCGCACCCTGCTCGGCTCTGGATGCCGAAGAGGTCGTTGAGCAGGCAAGCGACGAAGTTGTGATGCAGCAGCCGCTTCCCGTGCGCCACCACGAACGAGACGATGCTCAGCCGCGGCAGGTTCTCGTCCCCCAAGATGAACACCTTCCCGCTAGCCCCCCATGCTGCCTTTGCCTCCTTCCAGAAGTGACGCTCCCGCTCCTCGATCGTTCTCACTCCCACCTCCATCTTCAGTCGGAACACCAGACCGCACCGGATCGCTCCTACGATCTCCGGCGTGCCTCCCTCCTCCCTCTCCTCGACCGAGTCTAGGTACCGATGCTCGAAGTTGGACACGAACAGGACGGTCCCTCCCGCTGGCGTGCAGGGAGACCCTCGCGCCTTGGCGTCCTCATATACGGCCTTCTTGTTGAAGACGAGGACCCCGGGAGTCGACGGCCCCCCCACGAACTTGTGCGGAGAGATGAAGACAGCGTCCTTGTAGGCCAGAGGCCTCGAGGGGTTCATGTCGATGTCCACGTAGGGCCCAGCAGCCGCGTAGTCGAAGAAGGCGAGGGCTCCGTGCTCGTGGAGGACTGTAGCGATCTCTTCTACATCCGTCAGCACTCCCGTGACGTTGGAGGCGGCGGAGAATGATCCTATCTTCATCCTCCTCCCCCTGTTCTTCAACAGCACCCGGCGCAGGTCGTCAAGGTCGACTCCTCCCTTCCCCTTCAGCTGCACCTCCACCACATCCGCGTCGCTCTCCCGCCATGGCAGGATGTTGGAATGATGCTCGTACGGTCCGATGATGACCAGCGGCCGCTCCTTCCTCTCCAGGCTCTCCCTCCACCCCTTGCTCTGCTTCAGCAGCTGAACCATCTTGTAGATGGCTGCTGTGCATCCTGACCCCGCGAACAACACGACGTCTTTGCCTTCCTTGCCGTGAACGCTCTCGAAGATGATGCTCCTCGCTTCCTCGCGGTACTTGGAGGTCTGCTTCCCCGTGTGTGACACCGTCGTGTGCGTGTTGGCGTAGTGGGGCAGCACTTCATGCCGGATCGCGTCCTCAATGAACGTGAGCGAACGGCCGGAAGCTGTGTAGTCCGCGTAGACGAGCTTGCGAGTCCCGAAGGGGGTCTGAACAGGAGCACATGATCCGATTACAGACGCCTCAATCTGCTCGAGCAGACTTGCTTCCCCCCGGTCGTTCTGAAAGGGCACAGTGGGAGCCAGCGAGGCTGTTCGGCTGAAGGATTCGCTTGCCTTTTGGCTGGAGAAAGAGCCGTCGGGCTGGACGGGCTGGAACTGCATCTTGCTCACCATAGAGCTCTCAGGTTCTCCGTATCCAAAGTTGGTCCCTACTTCCAGCACATCCTCAACGATCTGCAGCTGGAGGTCGTCGAAGGAAGTGGCCATGGAGATCTTGGTATGTCGATCAACAGGAGGAAGGGGAGAGGAGCAGGTTCGGAGAGCAGGCGGATCCTGATATCCCCCTGTCACATTCCCCTCCACAGCTCGCAGTTTGCACCTTTGCCCACCACCCACCCCCCTTTACCCCACTTCTTTGGGGAATTGGAGGGGTCCATAACTGAAGACAAGATACAGTTGTGCCCCACCCCCTGTACTTGTCACCCGTATCCCCCATTACTTTACTTCATACAGTACCACCGGTCCTCTCCCCTGCCTTGCACCATGTACCCCACCCTGTTTCTAAACCACAAATTAACACCTGATATCGTAACGATATCTGTAACGGTAAAATTTGTACCAAACTAAAATTAGCTGAAAGTTTTACTGAACACCAAAAAAGGCTGTCCAGGGATCACCCAACGGCCGCGGTACAATCTTTCACTCAATTGTCAATATCCCTGCTACTGAAAACTTTAGTCAAGTGGTGTCACCGAGTACTGGCAGGAGCAATAGGAAACGGTCAAGTTCCGCCCTCCTCCGCCCCCTTTGCAACGGCCCCCCGGCCACTGCAATAATGAGTGCGCCTCAGGTTTATGTCGTGGGGCAGAGCCTAATTGAATGAAGATGATTAAGAAGAGCAATTGTCTGTCTGCTGTGCTGCTGCAATTGAGCCCTTAGTGCTTTGAGGGAGGCGGGCTGCCTGCCCTTTCAGGAGTCCGCGCTAAGGGAGAAAAATCTGGTCATGGATAATCATCGACCTTGAAGTGGGGGGACCGTCAAGCGGGGGAATAGTAGTAGTAGTACGGTCGGACCCCATCAAAGCGCCTGGGGCCGAGACTTTGAACGTTTACTCTGCGGCGGCCGGGGTTGCCGTCGGCGTTCCGAGGCACTAACTTAGCTTTGAGTAAATCCTCGACTCTCTGAGTACTGATCTTTAACTTAACTTAGAGTAAAGATCATCGCCGTGGCGCCGCGGGCCCGGGGTATGATCAGTCGAGGCTCGTAAGACCAGTTTTAAACTTAACCGTAACGTTGAGTGTACGGTAGTACCGGGGGTCAATATGTACTGCTGCTTAGTGCGCCTCCTCCTCCGCCGCTCCTCCTCCTCCTCCTCCTCATGGTTGTCTTCTTCAGGCTCCTCCCCATCTTGCCCGGGCTTCGACGCCTTGATTCACTCCTTGCCGAGGCTCCTCCCTCCGTCCTCCCTGCTCCTCCCCACCTCCTCCTCTGATTCGTCCGTCCTGTTTCCAACCTGTGACTTCATCCTTGTTCATCGTCTTGCCTGCCGGCGATCCACAGCTCTCCTCTCAACCTCTTGCATCTCTCAATGAACACTCCTTCAACAATCCTCCTTCACGCTCGTTTCTTCTCGTCTTCTCGTTGCGATACCGACGGCCCTTTTGGTCCTCCAGGCCCGAACTCTTGCAGGAGGCTCTGCCTCCCTTGTCATCCTCCTCGTTCGAGACGTTTCCTCCTCCTCCTCCTCCTCCTCCTCTCCTCCTCCTCCTCCTCCTCACCTTGGGTATGGAAGGAAGACTGTACTCCCATTCGTCCTCGGCTTCCCCGTGGAGAGGGTCGACGTCCGGCCTGAGTTTTACCTATTGCAACAGAAGGGAGGAGGAGGCGGAGGAGGAGCAGGAAAAGGTGGAGGAGGACAAGGAAGAGGAGGAAGAAGAGCAAGAGGAGGAAGAGGAGCAAGAAGAGATTGCTTGACATCAGCAGAGCTAAGCAGAGCAGGCAAACACTACCTCCTCCCCTGTGTAGAAGTGCTGAACAAAGTTGTACTGAACGTCCTGCAAGGGTACAGCAATCATTCGCCTTGCGATGACAGTCAGGAAGGTCACTTCACCTCGACCGTCAGCATGTCGATCATCTTGCTGATCGCAAGCGCAAGCTCGAACTTGGACAACCTGTTCTCATTGATGTCCTTCATGACACTCGAGACCTGCGGCAAGCATCATGACTGGCAGACGCCCTGGGGAGCGACAAACCTGGTTTAGCTTCATCCTCCACCCGACGAGGTAGTAGAGGAGGACAAGCAGAGACGTCACGAGCCCGCTGAGTGACGTCTCGGTTGCTTCTTCGAAGGAGGAGAGGAGGACGATCATGATGAGGGAGAAGATAAGGTTTGACAAGTTTGTCAGGATATAGTCGAAGTCTTTCACTGACGAGTTGCACGCCCTTGAGGCGATTTGCTGCCAGATCTTGCCGCATCTGCAAGGAAGGAGATTGGGGAGGGGAGGAGGAGGAGGGAGGAGGAGGAGGAGGAGGAGGAGGAGGAGGAGGAGGAGGAGGAGGAGGAGGAGGAGGAGGAGGGAGGAGGAGGAGGAGGAGGAGGAGG